ATTGAAGATAGAACGAACTTGAATTGTTTTTTTCGATTTAATGAAGAAAAATTTTTTCGCTTAATTGATCGTTCGATATCGAATAAAGGATGATCATCATTCTGTATTAGCTCGATTAATATCAATATCAATTAAATATAGATAAAATTGTAAATGACCTACCTGAATGCATTGTAGGCAAGGGACGTAGATTATTCCATTGGAAAATGAAGAACACACGATTTAATTGAGATATTTGAAGAATGTTAGATCAAGATATGAGAAAGAAACAAACAAGAAAAAAAAAAAAGAAAAAAAAGAAAGAAAAGAAAGAAAAAAAAGAAAAGAAAAAAATCAAAAAGTTAAATAAACATCGACGAAACAGCACCAACTTTTTGTTTTTGTTTGTTTGATTTTTTTTTTCTTTTCTTTCTAAATAATCATTAAAAGATTACACGATTAAATGAATTATATAATAAATTGTTCTTTAGGCAATGTAAAGAACGAGAATGCCTAGGTTCTTTCTTCTTTTTTTTTTTTTTTTTTTTTTTTCTTTCATAAACACAATTTCATTCAAGTTCTTTAATACAGTTTTGTTTAGCTCGTAACGAGTTATATTATAATTGAATGAGATCTGATCAATATGAGACACCAATTGAATCATGAACTTTGGTTGCGGATAGTCGCGACGATACTGCTGAAAATTCACGAGGATATCTCGCTCCCTCTTCCTGATTTTCCTCTCTTCTCTTGGATGGCAAGGAGTCTGCGCGATGTCGAAGATCCACAGGATGAGAAACGTTCTGTATATATATATATATATATATTTTTTTTTTTTTTTTCATTTTTTCCTCTTTTTAAACTGATAAATATTCTTTGATATAATAACGGGATAATATGTAGATATTGATCGCGTACATTGTATCGATTTGGTCGTGAGTTTTAACGTAGACCATTTTTTTATTTTTATTTTAAAATAATCTTATTTTAACAGTTATTAAATTGACTTTTCTTTTTTTTTTCTCTAACAGCATTTTCATTAATAAATAAATATGACGGAGCTGTATGTTGTGTGTGTATGTGTGTGTGCGTGTGTGTTGTGTATGCGTTCGGACGATGAAAAAAAATATTCCTTGTTTTTTTTTTTTTTTTTTAAACAAATAAATATACTTTTTCATTATCTCAATCGATAAAATTCTTTCGATAAAATTCATTTGTTTACGTTAATACTTTGTTGAACTTTTTTTTCTCTTTTTCTTTTTTTTCTTTTCATTTCTCTCTCTCTCTCTCTCTTTCTCTCTTTCTCTCTCTCTCTTCCTCTCAATTTCTTTTAGTTTTCTACACGTATGCTAAGAATTTGTCGTAGTTTAGAAGTTGCGCGCCAACATAAAATACTGTAATGGCAAAAGGAAACGAGAATACTATTATTCAATGATCTTATGGGTACTCAAAGAAGATAGTAGGATAAAAGATTCATTCCTACTAGAGATTCTATTCCCTTCCATGCTTTCATCACACTTCAATATTTTAACATACGTTAGCTATACATATTTCTTATTTTACGTTATATCTCTTCCTTTTTTTTTTTTTCTTTTCTTTTTCTTTTTCTTCTTCGATATATACAAAATCCGTGTATTTGAGATACGATGGACCTTTATAAAAAACATTTTCATAATGCAAAAACATTCCTTTTGGTATTTTTTTAATGAAAAACAAAAAAAAGATTAAATCCTTCATATTCATTTTCGTCGTCTTCATTTAATCCATTACTCTTTTTTTTCCTCTTAGATCTCGATAACTCTATCCTAACTTCTTATCTCTCATCTATGCGTAATATCATACAAGAATAGATATTTTAATGAATAGTGAAAAATAAGGGAGAAGATAGTGTAAACAATAAGGAATAAACTACCCTTCGCATTTAGAACGTGCGAAAGGTTGACTTTGTTTCATGTAAACTTTCAGATGGTGCGTATAGTCTTTCGCACGTCGCTAGGAAACGTAATTTGAGAAGACACTACTATAATAGCAACACGTCGTCGTATGCCGCAATAAAGATCTCAAAGAAAGAGAGAGAGAGAGAAAGAGAGAAAAATTACTCGATTAACTCAAATTTCGAATCTTTGTGATTTCTTTTTTTTTATTCCATTTTCTTTTCTTTTGTTCTTTTTTCTTGTTCTTATTTCTTGTTCTTTTTTCTTTTTCTTTTTTTCTATTCTTTTTTCTAGTTCTTTTTTTCTCTCTTTTTTTTTCTTTTTTTTTTTTTTTTGATAAGAGAAAATATATCTCCTCCAAATTTAATCTTCTTCCTCATATTAAAAATCTTTTCTTATTACTTTTATTACCCTTTTATTACTTGGTTCGAACAAAATATTGCCTTTCAAATGATTGTTTATCAACAATTTTGTTTATGAACAAAACGTAGAGCTTAACTAATATGCTTAACTAATTTCTACATCGAATTTTTACATTATAATACTTCGAAAATGTTTGCGTTTGATAAAAAGATTACAATAATGAATATCGACCAAATCGATGTAAATATTAAGTAATTTTAATTAAATGATCATATAAACGTAATTAAGAGATGGAAGGCGTGTTAATTAAATTCTAAGCTGTGATGTCATTCTTTTAAGATCATCTATGGAATCATTATTATTGCGCGGTGCTTTCAATGGGTAGAATTATCATCAATGAAAGAGTAAAATAAAAGGGAGAGAGGAAGAGATAGAGATAGATAAATAGAGAGATAGATAGATAGATATATATATATATAGAGAGAGAGAGAGAGAGAGAAAGAGTGAGAGAGTGAGAGTGAGAGTGAGAGTGTATGAAGAAGCGACATGCATTCTGAAAATTATTGATGGATTTTATTTGCACGTTTGCGTGTTCATATCTAGAACAGTATTTAAATTGTTATTATTTAAAAGTCTTATATTTTAAACTGTTATTATTTAAAAGTCTTATATTTCTTATATCATCAATGAAATTTATTTTTACAAATGTCACATTTCAATCATTCTCTACAAGCTTATAGAACGAAATATATGGAAATATATTCTGATCTATTATGGCCCTACAGATAGGTATATGGAAATATATTCCTATCGTGGAAATAGTGATGCCTCATCGTATATACGACAATATCTAAAAATTGGAATCAGAGAATTGATCTATATATTGATTATACTCGCATTAATTATCGATAATTTTCTAAATGAGCACGTATTTCGTATTTTTGGGAAAATCTTTTTTTTTTCTTTTTTTTTCTTCTTCTTCTTCTTCTTCTTCTTTTTTTGCTGCAAGATCAATAATTAATAAACGCAAGTAAAATCTTCAACGCTACCGTCATTTCGTTTGATTAAACAAAACGATAACGATCGAACGGAAACAACCGAATTTAATTACGAGTATAGGAACAAGTAGGTTGTCGTTTAAATTAAAAACAGCTTTATCACGATGTAAAATCATTCTCCACGCACGTTTTATACTTCGGAGAAATTGATGTTAATAAAGATTGAAATGAAAGTATGTGACATATAAAAGCATACGCGTGTGTATATACATATATATATATATACACACACACACACATACAGATCTCCATTTCATTTCGAAAACGATTATACTAATATTATACAAAATAAAAAAGATTGCATAGATGTGAAATATATTTGACATCATGTAGGTTAAATATCACATAGAATTTTTATTTCGTATATTAAATACGTTCCTTACATATTTATTTTTACTTTTTCTTCAACAAATAACAATAGAAAAGTGTAATGAATAAAAACTGTTCGACAAGTTTTAAGTTAAACATATTGTATATACACACAAAATAGATAATATTTCTTTGACATAAGTAATGATTATAAATTATCGTAGGTTAATATTATTCTTTTAAAAGTTTTCGTTTGTTCAATGGTGAAGTTAAAATCGACCAATCATTTCCAGTTTTGTTTGTGCTCTCTCTCTCTCTCTCACTCTCTCTCTCTCTCTCTCTCTCTCTCAGTAAATAGACAGACACGATAGAAAGGTGCAAACATTTCGGTTAACTTGAACTAACTCAATGAAATAAGTTTAATGCCTCAGTTATGTTTAATACTGCACAAATATCGATTAACGAAAATTAATAATAAATAATATCGATCGACTAACTTATTATCACATTAATATGATACTCCTTTTTAAGTTGTACGTTTACAATTTTTTTTCTTCTTCTTTTCTTCTTTTCTTTTCTTGATAAACATATGTTCGTTGAACAATTTTTTTAATCGTAATACCTATACAACTTTTACATTCTATACAAGGAAATAAATAATTCTCTGTTCTTTGAAGCACAACAATCGAAATTATTTTAAAAATGGCAAAATCAAATCTAAATATTTCAATAATAATTATTTCTGATAATAGCTCCTTAATTATCATGCATCAATGAAATCTCAATATTATCATTTAATTCATATTACGTCGAATGTATGAGTGAAAAAACAATTCGATAAAATTTCAATCAATATTTATTAAATGAATTTTATATTAAAACGTTCGATCGTAGAAAATTTGTATAATATATTTACTTAATATTTATCTTTATTCATATCTTTTATTTATCTTTTTCTTCCTTATGACCATGTAATTACAAATCTATCTGCAAGTGATAGAATGAAGAAGATAACGAATACATTAATTCCTTCTTCTTCTATCTATTTATCTATCTATCGAATAAACTTCTTGCTCGAATTATATAATAATGAGAAATTGTTTTGTTAAATTTTACATTACAAGAGGGAATTTTCTGTATTTTTTAGAATGAACAAAATTTAATTTAAAATTGTTGAAATCGTTGAATAATATCGTTATAACAACTAAATCGTAATAAACTTTCTTTTACAAGTATAAAAAAAAATTCAAATACTGCATTAAATCCGTATAATTTGATATAAATTTCGATCTTGATGAAATTACGTTGTATTTTTGTGATTAGAGGTATACATAAATATCCACAAATATATACGTACATGTGCGTGTGTGTGCGTGCGCGCGCGTGTGTGTGTGTATACATCATAGAGCTTGTTATCCGTTCAGCAAAGGATCCATTCGCAATCCTACGATTTTTTCGAATAAACGTATCTAAATCTCAAAGGAAAAGGTTTTTTATTATAAGACTATAATATATTTTTCGATAAAAAAGAAAGAAAAAAGAACGAAAAAAGAAAAATGAAAAAGATAAATAAATAAAAACGAAAAAAGAACTATCCCTTTATCAAACCAATGTATGTATGATCAAATATGTCGATGATTTCATTTCTTAGATTTCTAATATTTAAATTAGTTTCTTTGACATTGCGTAATCGCAAACGAATTCAAGTTTTCAAGCAAAGAAGGAAGAATTTTAATTTCATTCGCAATGTCGTAGTAATTAACGAGTACGACGGCTCTAAGAGAGAAAAAGAAAAAGGGAAAGAGTAAGAAAGAGGGAGAGAGAAAGAGAGAGAGAGAGAAAGAGAGAGAGAAAAAACGAAAGAGACCGAAAGAGAAACATTTTCTAATTTTCTTCGAGATTATACGATCAACTTAATTTCTTCTACCCTTGATAACGACGAACAACTTTTCATTTTCGTTTTCCTCCGGAAATAATGATTCAGTGTAAGACAAATTTTTACTGTAATTATTAAAAGCTGAACGCTTGTTTATGTTGAATTAATGAGAGATAAAATACGAATATAAATTTTCCATAGAATATTGCGCTTGATCGTTGCACATATTTATCTCTTTAATTATACATCATTTCGCAAATAATATATATATATATATATATATATTTACAAATCTTTCCGTAACTTCGAAGTATCAAATAAATTTTCCACGAAAATCTAAATGATAATGAATCTTTTCAACGCGCATGCATTAAAAGTCAGATTGATATAGAAATGTCACGATATAAAGAGTTACGATTCTTGAATATTCCAGTCTATAAATTGAGTAGTCTGATCTAATGTAATTATCTATTTAATTCCTCCCAATTTATTTTAATCACCTTTTACGAAATATCATTATCGAAGTTGCTCTTCCCTTACGATGTTTCCATTAAAATGCATCATATTAACTTTCTATATAAACGAAGAATGAGGAAAAAGAATAAAAGGGGAGAAAAAAAATTATTGTATTTTACGATAAGACAGTGTCGTAGGTTAAACGGATGGATGACTGACATAAATTTATAAAATTCCATTCGATCTCGTCTATTTCGAACATAAACAAATATTTGTATTTTTAAGTTCGATTATTTTCCTCACTATTTCTCTCTCTCTCTCTCTCTCTCTATTTTTTTATTTTTTTGTTTTCTTTTGATTTTTTCTTTTTTCGCCTGATACTGCAGGTACATACGTAAGCATACATTTTTACTCTAATATTTATAAACGATAAATATCGAATTAAATCAATCCTCTTTGTTAAGTAATTTAATTTTCTCATTTTATTTTATTTTCGTTCATTAGTTCGTTTGTTTCTTTTATAAAAGATATAACTAAGATAAAAAACGATCACGATCCTTTCCTCATCGAAAATACTATCACGTCGTTTCTATGATATTTCGTACGTATATACATACATATATACATACACATATATATACATACATACATACATATATGTATATATATATATATATATAATAATAATAATAATAATAATAATCTCTCAACGATCTAACCGTTCTTAAGAAAATATATACATGTGCGTTCGCAAAGATTGATCGTTCTTTTTGATAAAGATTTTGAAGATATATATATATATATATATATAAAGAAGGGTGGAGGACAGAGGTTCCGTATATGTACAAAGATTTACGATCGGATATCTTGACCACTTTGATAGCTATATATATATGTATATATATAAATTTATATATATATATATATATTGTGGAATGATCTTTCACTGTGTAATTTGAAAGTTATTTTCGATTCTCTTTGCTTTTTGACATAAAGGAGAACCTTTGAGTGTTAAATTAGACCATCTTAAATAAGTAAGAGAAACGTTAAGAGGAAACAACGTTATCGTTTGTAAACCGAACTTTGAGAGAAGCGTCTTTAGTAACCATAGGAAGATCTACCAAGTTCTATCCTAGATTGATGGTACAAATATATTCTACAGGGTATACCGAAAGTTTCTCTGATAAATGGGACTTTCGAAAAATCAATAATTACTCATTTTCGTGACAACTCTGACCTCCAATTAGAAATTTAGTGGTTTTTGCAATTTGATAAAAAGAAAAAATAAATTAGCCTCAAAAATATCGAAAAAGTATAATTAATTTTTGAAATGATTTAAAAACTTTCAATCCATCTAAAGACTTTTGAGTCGTCCTATATACACATACACACACACACACACACACACAAACATATATATATATATATTATAATCCCTTTACTCTGAGTGTACTTTAAGAACGTTTCGAAACTTGACGTTTATAAACGATCGTAGAAACTTAAGATTCAAAAATCCAAGAAGATTTTCCTTAACAAAAAAAGAAAAATATCTTTTTAATGTTAGACTTCGTAATACAAAAGATTTCACGGAACAGTAGAGATCTCTCTTTATCTCTCTCTCTCTCTCTTTCTCTCTCTCTCTCTCTCTCTCTCTCTCTCTCTCTCTGTCTCTCTCTTTCACTCTTATTGAGTTTACCCTCTAAAAATATCCATCTTCGGGACCGTGATGATGATGGAGGTGAACAAAAACTATAGTATTCCCAAAGGGACCTCCGTCAATTTGGTATGCCACGTTGCTTTTCATCAACTCCAAAACCAAATGCTTTCGGTTGGTCAAACAATGGCGTCTCCATTGATGCTTTGCATGATATATATATATATATATATATACATAGCTCAAGGATGAACCCACAAGTTCTTTAATCAATTTGGTTTTATTTTTCTTTTTCATTCTCGTTTTCTTTATAATCATATAAAACGAAGGTGTCTTTTTCAAGTAATAAAAATAACTCTCACTCTTTCTCTATGATACCTGAGCATCTGCATATTTTGAATTTTTATCGTAAAATCATAGATATTGATATTTTACAGAAAAGAATTTTCTTGTTCTTTCTCTCTCTCTCTCTCTCTTTCTCTCTCCCTCTCTCTCTCTCTCTCCCTTTCTCTCTTTCTCTCTTTCTCTGTGATATTTGGATACCTGCTGATATTTTGAATTTTTAACGTAAAATCATAACTTTGAATCTATCGTCTAAAAGCTCACTTTCTTCCTATCTCTCTCTCTCTTTCTGATACACACACATACACACACACACAAACACACACTTTGATATCTAGACACCTGCTGAGATTTTAAATTCTCAACGTAAAATCGTAGTGATATTTTAGAAAAAAAATTCTCTCTCTCTTTTTTTTTCCCCTTTCTCTTTCTAATATCAAAACTTTCGAATGTTTTGAATTTTTATCATAAAATCTTGATATTTTTTGCTTACGCAATACTTTATCTCTCTCTCTCATTTCTTCTTTCCTGTTTCGTTTATATGATCAGTTAGAATGACTATAAACGATGGTCCTAACACAGAAACACTTTAAAGTATTATATAACCAATGCTTGGACCGGTCATACATATAGTTTGTGTTTGATAGAGTTTAATGTATCACCGATCTGAAATTACACTTGATAGATGCTCGTACATACACTATGTGAAAGATAAAGATAGATATATAGAGAGAAGGAGAGACAGAGACTGAGAATGGGTGACAGAATTACAGAGATAGACAAAGGGAGAGAGAGAGAGAGAGAGAGAGAGAGAGAGAGAGAGAGAGAGAGAGAGAGAGAGAGAGAGAGAGAGAGAGAATGTATGTTCAAATTAATGTCAAAATTAATAAACAAGAATTTAGATCGACCATGTTTATTATCAGCGTTGACTTATTGGTCTAACGTTGATCAAAGAAGCATTAGCTTCTTTCTCCGACGTTATATATTTTAAGATTAATTTCGATAAAATTTCTTAAATTTTCATTTCTTCTTTTTTTTCTTTTTTTTCTTTTTCTGTTCTTTGTTTCTTTTTTTTACCAAAAAAAAAAAAAAAAAGAATAAATACGCCGAGGTAAAATAATTAATTGGATGTATTATATATATATATAAGAACAATGTATCCTTCGTACCTTTATTATACTGTTTCGAATAAGCTAAAAAAAAAAAAAAAAAAAAACAACCCTCCTCCGTCTTATCTATTTCTCGAAGCTTATTGTTATTTATTTACTTCTTTATTGTTTTTTTCTTTCCTTTTTCAGAATACTCCTACATCCCATTTGAAAAATGCATATGCCTGTTTCCTGGACAAATTGAACTTACATCTATTTCTTTTTACTTTTTATTTTCTTTCTGAGCTTAGTTATAAGCTCTCATATTAAATAGCACATTTCGACAATAAGAATCAATATTACAAAAGCCCATTATATATTGAAACTTATGTAAAATTATACTACTTATTTTTCACTATATGTGAAACTTACAAAGGATATATAAATATTTGTCCTTGGAGATTAATGGATTATTTCGAAAAAAAAAACAAAAAAAAACAAAAAAGAAAAAACAAAAAAGAAAAAAAATACAGAAAATCTCGGAGAAGTAACTATTGAAAATTTCGTTTTTTCCTTTCTTTTTTACGTCTATGAAATATTTGATAATCTTGAAAAAATAAAGTTACTTATCCTTAAAATATTATACCTTATAACGAGAGAAACTTTCTTTTTTCCCTTTTCGCGTATTTTTCAATGTACATTTTTAAACGGTATAACATTATACTGGACATAAGTATACATATATACGTTCATACATAAATTCACGCTTGTCTCTTTCTATGTATATATATATATATATATATATATATATATATATATATATATATGTATATATATAAAATACACAAACAAGGTACAAAAGTATCCACTTATGTTCTCTAACAAAACTTTTCTAACAATATATTTCCTATTTTCGAAGTTTCTTCTAATGAAATAAAAAACTTACGTGGATAAACTTAGTGGCATACATTATTCCAGATCATTCCTTTGGATAAATGCAATGGACGATTTGAACAATCAAAATCGGATAACTAGTGTCCGTTTCACGTAGTTCGAATAATATTTTTTCTTTTTTTTTCCTTTTGCTTTTTTTTTCTTTTTTCTTTTTATAATACAACTCCAGAGTGTTGAACCAAAAAAAACTCAGAGAATTGAACCAAAGTAGACGCGACAACTTACGTTACAGTATTATTTTATTAATAAAAAAAAAGAAACGGAAAAAAAGGAAGAAAAAAAGAGAAAAAGCAGAAGGAATAAAAGAAGGAAAAAAAGGGTTAAGTATAATCATTTATACATTGTGTGTATATATATATATATATCTATCAGAGGGGAAAAAGGAACGATGATATTTATCTTGTTCAAGATGAGCTTTGAAAAAAACAAATAATATATCTAAATCGTTGATTTCCAACGTATATACGTAGCAATAAGGAGAATGAGCTGGTCGGTTTTTTCTAACTTAAAGGGGAAAGAGGGTTAAGTTAAAGAGAATATGTTCCTCTTTCGTCGACTGACAATAATGCGATGTACAAAGAAAAGTAAAGAAAACAAATGAACAAACCAGAAAAATAAAAAAGAAAAAAAGAGATAAAAAACAGAAAAAAAAAAAACAGAACATTCATCGTGTCACGTCCGACGTATGTTTTTATTTCCTCGAAAGAATTTTCAAATAACAATTTTTGCAATAAACATTTCTAAATATATACGTACGTATACGTGAGATAAAACAGGATATATGTGAGAGAAAGCAGGATGTGATGAGAAGTAGCAGGACCTTTGCGATACCAGAGCATACCTATTCTTTCTCTTTCTTTCTCTCTCTCTCTCTCTCTCTCTCTCTTTCTCTATCTGTTTATCTCTCTTTCTCTCTTCTACGATAACTTTGTGAAAACGTAGAAAGCTCTGAGTGATTCGATTTTCTTCCGTACGTCTTCCTTTCTTTGCAGCAATAACGTTCGCTTGTAGTAAATTACTACGAATAATACATCATCAATATGATTAATAACTTTGAAAGAAAATAAGGTTAATGAAAACTAATTAAACTTGAGGTTCCATTTTAATAGAGAACATTTGCTATTGTTATTTTCAATAAAATCATAATATCGTTTGATTCAATTTTAAATGTTAATTTAATGTTATTTCAAAGAACAAATTTTTCTTCCCTTTGCTTGTAGCCTCAAATTTTATTTTTCTTTCGAAAAAAAGGCATAAAGTGTTCTTCTTCTTCTTCCTCTTTTTTTTTGGTTTTTTGGTTTTTTTTTCTTTTTTTTTTTTTTACTTTTTCTTCCCTCTACAAATATTGATCTTTTTAAAAGAACAAATGCACTTTTGTATTTTTCATATATATATATATATATATATATATATATATATATATATATATATGTATATAAAGAAAGAAAATAAAGAAGGAAGAAAATAGAAAAGTTAAGACTAAATCATTATTCTTACATGGAATTATTTATAATTTAATTCATGAGAAAAAAGACTTTTGAGTCTTTGTCAAACAAATAATTTGGAAAGATTTCATTAACAAGTTGCAAAATTCTCGAACCGTATGGGATATTTTACGTAAATCAATTATAAGAAGAGGATTTACTTTAGCTTCTTCCTGGTTTAAATTTACTTTCATCCTACGAATTCACTTCCTTGCACTCATTGAAAGCATAATGACGTTCTCATGATTATGTATGCCTCGAAAAAGGGTGTTATTTTTCAATTAAGTCTCTCTCTAGTAAAAGTGTATGATCCACTTTTGCTTCCTTCTTTTAAGTTAAATCCCTCGAGAGATGCAAGTATCATAATTTCGAAGGTTGGATCTCAATTTAATGCGATATACATCTATCGTTTAAAATTTTAAACGGTATTTCATGAATATTAAATGTGATCTATAACCGATGATAAATGTCAACTTTAGAGATCTTATGATCCTATATATATATATATATATATATATCCATATACATAGGACAAGACATATATGTATATATATATATATCATTTTGATAGTTCAATATGTTACACTTATTTCAAAATTGTACATACAAATCAGAAAGTAAATTTATATATATATATATATATAAATATTTTTTTTTATTAATTCAACTACGTAAAATTGTAAACGTATTACAAAGAGTAAAAAAAAAAAATAAAAGAAAAGAAAAAATACGAGCGGAATGCTACAATGATACAGGTGAGAATATCGCTTAATTCTATTTAGCAGGAACACGAAAGTCGAAGAAATGAGCTACGTGCTCGGCATTCTCAATTCTCTAAAAGACTAGAACGAAAGTGCTTATCCTTTTCATTGAGAAGATCGTTTAATTATCGAATATCTATGATAAAGGTTTTACGAGAAAAGTCCTACGATAGTTTCTATCGATATTCCTATCTCATTTGCAATAATAATAATAATAATAATAATAATAATAATAATAATAATAATAATAATAATAATAATAATAATAATAATAATAATAATAATAATAATAATAATTGAGAGATTTATTGCAATATAACTCGTTCGAATGTGTTGTTAATTCGAATTAAAAAAAAAAAAAAAAAAAAAAAGAAAGAAAAAAGTAAAAAGGAAAGAAAGAAAAATCGACGAATAAGTACAAAGACAACGTTGAATTTTAAGGCTAAAGAGAAAAAAAAGAAATAAAGAAAAAGTACTTATTATGACCTACATAATATGATAAAATTGAGAACGTATGATTTTCGACATGATTTACTTATCTACTCTCCGTTCGAATTCGCTCAAGTACTTGGGCACATATTATACATAAAGTTTATGTCGAATACAAAACTTATTGTAGTCGAAATCGAAAGGAAAAAAAAAAGAAAAAACGTATCGCGAAAATTCGTTCATTAATCGTTCACAAAATGTCACTCACACGAAAATCCACGCACTCACGCGCACTCACACACACACATACACACATACACACGTTAAAAACAATAGTACAAAAGACAATAATATCTATATCGGATTAATTATAAATTTAATCACGTATCGAACTAGTTAATATCGTTTAAAACTAATTACTGCTGATGTATACCAAGAATCAGAAATGTGTGTAATATTGAATAAGCAAATCGAGGTCTCGCAAAGGAGATTAGCTCTGTCTGTTTCTCGCAAATTCCATATCAGTAACCATGTCACCTCTGTGACCTTTGTTAAAATGAGGTATATAAAGCGAGCTGCCAGCTACAAGATCCAATCCTCAATTCGTTGAAAACATATCTATCACTCTGAAGTTTTTGAAATTGAACGTAGTGGAAGAACGATTTAAAGAAAAAAAAAAAAAAAAGGAAAAAAGAAAGCACCATGAAGATATTTTATCTTATTTACTTGTTCCTCGTCATTTTGACCTGCTTTTCTTTCACTAATGCGAGTAAGTATCAATCATTCTTTATATAAATATATATATATATATTTCTCTCTCTCTCTCTCTTTTTCTCTTTCTGTCTCTATACAATAGAAATCCATGAAATATGATAAACCTGTAAAGAAATGATCTTACACGTCGTTACAACGATTTTTCTAAATATTATTACGCTTCGAGTCGAATTTATTTTTCTCGTCTCTTTTTTTCCATATAAACGTAAAAAGAAGGAAGAAAGAAAAAAAAAGAAAGACAAAAAAATTTTATCCGAACAAAATGTACTTTTACACGCGTCATTATAAATTTATCTAGCGTTAAATAATTTATGAGCATTAATGCGAATTAAACAGTGCATTTTCGGTTTATCGTCTGTGATTAAATCAAATTAATTTCTTCAGTAAACCAAAAAAAAAAAAGAAAAAAAAAGGAACACACAAATCGTGATAAAATTGTAAAAAAGAAAAGAAAAAGAAATAGAAAAAGGAGGGAGAGAAAAAAAAAGAAAAAAAAAGAAAGAAAAAGAAAGAAAAAGAAACAATGAACAAGTGAAGTAAATTTTATGAAAAATCGTTATAATAAACTTTCTTGTTGTTTTTCCTTTAACGATGTTAAACAGAGAATACGAATCTTTTTAGGTTGCACGGAGGATGAATGCAAAGCCGCTTGTAAATACGTTGGTAGTATTCCTGGCGGAAAAGGTGGCAAGTACTGCGTTAATGGTGCGTGCAGATGTGCTACTGTGCGTCCATAATGATTAAAATACGAGCTAATAGTAACAATGATACTTATCGTTGTTATAACTTATATACCAACAATCGCTATGATCAACAGACGTCTCTCTCATCGTTTGTCATTGTAAGCCCCCATTTCTATGTAATTTAAAATATAAAGTGAAATCGATTTAATCACCCTCAACAGCTGTTTCACTCACAGCTCTTGACACAGATTATAATCGTTCATTAATAATTATGTACATAGATCGATTCAATGGATAAAACTTTTAAAAATTGAAATTTATATATATATATATATATGCGTGTGTGTGTGTGTGTGTATGTATGTATGTATGTATGTATGTATGTATATATAGTAAATATGGTTCGTACAGGCGCACACAAAACTATAAATTTTAAATCAACACCTTCTGCATTTCGCATAATGAATCTCACCGAGAAATACGAGGAAACATCCGATTAGGCCAATAAAAAGTCCAAGAAACGCTAACGAGTAATGTTCCAATGTGAGTTTCTTCTTTTTCTCACTCAATGCCAATTTCATTTTCTTATCCTCGACCAATAAAGGATACGTCATTTCCTCGTACCAAAAGTTAATAAATCCAAACTGTTGAATCCTTAGCAACAAGGTATTGATCTTTTCTGTATAAGGAGAATTAAGTCTGATCACGTATGAAAGCGTATAAGTAACTGGACACTCTTCGACAATGTGGACCAATTTGTTCCCATCGTCGTCGTAATAAATCGAATAATTCTCGAGCTTGGTCGATGTAAATCGACCAAGAGCAATAACGCTTTTGTCGAAGGCGACGAAGTAATTCGTTGGTTTATCCGAATTAAGAACACTGATTTTATTCCGCAGTTTCGTTTCCAATGGATCCTTCCCGATAAACGTGTCTTCTTTCAAATTTAAATATTTCGTTACTATCGTATAATTCGAATCGGCAACGTCCTCGATAGTATTTATTTCTGGATATCTCAATGGTTTGCTAAGAGTCCACATTAGCCAATTATTGTAAAGTCCAACGATTACAAGCCCAAATAATAACGAACTACAAAGAAATATTCTGAGTGCCGGGGTATAAGCCTTTTCGAAAGGATAACAAAATAATATAATCAATTCTGTGCAACGAATAACGTATGAATGTATCTCGGGTGGTTCTTTATTTTTCCTCCAACTAATATTATCCTTTTTTCTTTTCAAAAGAATATTATCGCGTGCAAGCTTACCCCGACGGATATTCGAGAACGTTTCCCCCAGAGAACATGTAATAGGTTTGTTATTACGAAACGAATAGCTCAAATATTTCAGGATCATCCAGAATATCGTCACGAAAATGTTATAGCATGCTAGGGTCATCCACAGGTCCTTCGTGAAAGGTAAAAATGGCATATATGATTTTGGTAAATAACCTTTAGTCGGTGCGATAAAACAAAGCTTATCTTCGGCAATGGCTGCTGTAAACTGATAAAGATAAGAATCGTTGTAAGCTTTAACAAAAAGGCTTGTAAATATGATCTCGCTCCTGCGATCACTAATATCTTGTAAGGATTCTTGAAAGGGATCAATATCGGAATCCTTATCCAATACATTTACGTCGAACCTCGCGTTCAAGTTGCTCTCCAACATTTTCATCACATTTGCATCTAATTTGGTATAATGGACGACATTGTTCTCGTCTACTTCTATACACATCATCATCGAAGGAAAAACGGTAACCTTTATCGGATAACCATTTACATTCTCGAAATTTTCGAAGAAACTTATATCATCTGATGGAAGTGAAGTTATCGAGTTTGTTCTTCTCTTCATAGAATATTCTTCGATATCATCGAAACATGATTTATGTACTTTCCCAAAAGCTTTTTTTGTGACATCGAATGGATGATAATTTAAGAAACAACGAAACTGATCGGTAATCGTTGTAATTAAAATTTTATATACATTAAATTTTATCCAGAGCTCATCGAAAATTCTTTTCCATGTATTCCCCGACGTTTCCTCACCAATGAAAACTATCAAATATTGATCATTGGGTTTCCATAATTTCTCATTTAAATATATCAAGACTTCGAGATCGTTTAAATCATCGATCGGTATGATCCAAGTGATACGTCCTTCATCCTTCCACGTATATAATGAAAGAAAATCATTAACGCTTATTCGATACCCTTGAATAAAATCGATCGACATGTGATGCAAGAGGGACACGAGCACGTTCGATTTCGTATCGGACAAAAGTAAAGAATTCATAAAAGGTTGGAATTCCTTTGAATTTCTCACATAATCCAGCATACGTTTGAAATTCTCTGTTATTTCAATGCTCAATTTAGACTCGATGCCAATCCTTCCCTTTTGAATATCGTCCAATTTTGATTGTATTCTCGTTGGCATAAGCATCAAGCAAATGATAATTCCCACATAGATCATTTTTTTTAATACAGTTGTATTTCGCTACGTTTAATGTTAGGTTTTATCAGTAAGCATATATATATATATATATATATTTTTTTTTTCCAAAAAATCCAACTCTAATGAACACATGCTATTTTCAATCGTTTCGTTTAATCCTTTGACCGTTCATCTGCGTATAAAAAAAAAGAGTATATAAAATGTCAAAAAGTCTTCTTTTAGCGAAATTCCGTTATTAATAGGTCAATTAAAAAGAAGAAAAAGAAAAAAAAAACATAGTACGCACTTGTGTGTCGCATTGGATCTAAAAGATATTCGATTGAAATTTTCTAAAAATGTTATTTCGATGAGAAATATCTTCGATATAATCGTCGACGAAAGGAAAAAGAGCATGGAGAAAATCTTAGATAAATTTTTATCGGGACAGAGCGTACTTAGAAAGAATTTAAAAAAAAAAAAAAAAAGAAAAAAAAAGAAAATGAATGTAATAAAAAAAAAAAAATCAACGGTAAAAAGTTGTGGCAAGAAAGAATGAAATTCGATAAAAAAGGATGAAAAAAAAAAGAAAAAAAGAAAGAGAGAAGAAAACAGACTCCTTTCTTCGAACTAATTTTATGTTAAATTTTTACCTTTAATAACAACGAACTCACATTGATAGCAATTTTCATAAGAGCCTTTGATTGATTTACAAATATACCAGGAAAGCAATTATTCGAATAGTTTTCGATTTTTCTTGATTACGTAAGTAGGTAATCATTTACTTACTCACGGTTAGGACAAATACTTGGACAACAATTTTCGTGACTTACATACAACATACTTCGTATACTTCGTCCTTCTTTTTAGGTTTTATCAAGTTTACATTGTTTGCCACATGCCCTACTCGAACGTAACGTCGAACTGACTTCTACTGACTCGTTAACTTCGAAAAAAGGAAAAAAAAAGAAAAAGAGAGAAAGAGGAAGATAGAGAGAAAGAGAGAGAGAGAGAGAGAGAGAGAGAGAGAAGGTAGAAAAAAGAGAAAAAAAAGAAAAAAAAAAGGAAGTGGGAAGAGAGATCGTTGGTAAATCGTCGTGGTTAAGGGTAAACACGAATATTTACATTTGTTCACTTCTGTTCTGACGTCTATGTAAGCCGACCAAAGAGATATGTATATCCGTCTTCAGTTAAACTCGTGCTCGGATTAAACCGGAAGGGCTCGGCTATCCGAATGGATAATGATCATATGAATATAGAAAATAATGTTAAGGATCGATTAAAAAGTCAACTCAACTCGTGGTTTAGATATCATTGATTGATACAGATTGTATGGTGGAAATTAAGGAAAAATACTCGTTGTATTATTATTCTGGATAAGTACATAAATTAAACGAACAAGACGATCGTTCGGATCTTATCTTAAATAAACATTAACGTTAGAAGTTCAAGGACAGCTACGTGCAATATACATAATCATAGTAGCACATAAATGAGTAAGGAGAAAAGAAAAAAACATTCGATAAAAATCTCGTAATTCTTTTTCTTTCTCTCATGTTATATATATATAATATATATATATATGTGTGTGTGTGTGTGTGTGTGTGTATTATCTTTAATCATTGCAACGATATAATTAAATCTATATTGCTTCAATAACGATGACTGTTAAGTATCTATAAATATACAAAAATAATAATTAAACTCTTGAAAAGACTTTGTTCTAAGGAATATCGATTATCGATCAATTAACAATCGTTCTCGTTTGTTCGATATTACCAATATCGAGTAACATCTTTTTCTTCTTTCTCATTTTAAAGAACAATGAGAACGAACGAAAGAAAAATAAATAAATAAATATATCCAGCGATAATAAATAAAACGTTCGCGAAGAATATATGTATATCACTGCCTTGAAGAAGTTTCAAAATCAAATAATTCCCGATAGGACGATAATTTCTCGTAAGAAACAAGAGGATTATCATATAATTCGAAAATTCACTCAATGGTAATACGATTGAACGAACTTTAATTGGATTAAACTCTCGCTAAAACTATAATTATGCTCGAACACGTATCGTGAATTTCGAAGAGAGAAAGACAGAGAGAAAGAGAGAGAGAAAGAGAGAGAGAAAGAGAGAGAGAGAGAGAGAGAGAGAGAAACAGTAGAGGCAGGAGAAGAAACTTGGCGAATTGAAAGCTTGTGTACAACTTGTATCAATCGATTCTTCCTTCGTTTAAAGATAATGCTAGTTCGTCGATGTCTCGTTCGACTATTGAAAAAAGGGGACAATCTATAAAATTTCAAAATTCGAATCCCTTGAGAAAAGATCTATAAGATAATGATTACGAGTAATCGATCGATATAAGAAAGAAGAAAAAAGAAAAAAAAAGGAAGAGAGAGAGAGAGAGAGAATAAGCTATTCGTTGAACACATGAGAAAAGTATAGACAACTACTACTCTTGTCCTTCGATCGAATTTAATTAAAGTGAGTGGGATCGAATGGAAAAACGTCTTATCGGTGATATAAGACTGTCCATCAACATCAACGATAACTTTCCGTCTCATTATCTTTGGTTCTTTCGTTTTCGAGAATGCACTTATTACGTTTTTTATTTATATTTCTTATAGACACATTGATACGTCTAATTAGATCGATCGTACGTATCTTTTATTAAGGGACTTTTTAAGAAAGAAAAAAAAAAAAAAAAAAAAGAAGAAAAGAATAAGAAAACGAAGCAATCGAAGCATTTAAAAAAAAAAAGAGATATTACACATTACTTGACATTAAATCATTTTATTCGACTAATGAGAGAGAGAGAGAGAGAGATAGAGAGAGAGAGAGAGAGAGAGAGAGAGAAAGCGGAAGTGATAAGAAATAATTGCATGCGATAATCTAATCGAATAAATCTCTCGATTTATCACAGTGAAAAAAAAAGAGTGAGAGGAAATTACTTTTTCCTATTAACAATTCTCACCGAGTTAATGATCTCAAAATAACGTTTCGATGTAATCACAAATTATGTTTGTATGTATGTATGTAGATTGTAATTTTGGATTTGATCGAAGACGAACGTTGAGACGTCTAACGAGGGAGGGTTGAAGAGTCAATAAGAGCGACGGAAAAAAAAACGAGCACATATCGAGTCGAACTAACGTCGTGTAATAACGAAAGAAATAGAAAGAGACAGAGAGTGTGTGTATGTGTATGTATGTGTGCGTGTGTGTATGTGTGTCTTAAAGGATATCTCAGTAAACAGAAAAAGTTTACGAAAAGGATAGAACGACAAGACACGCGACGGAGTATTATCTCTACTTTCTTTGACGGCAGAGACACGTGATTAAAATCGTCGTCTTTAGATATTCGTTGATAAACTTCTTATACGATGTTCTTCAAACTCATTCTTATGATCGTAATTTTATTAGTGAAGCTCGATCACGGTTATAGAATTTTCAATGGGATGGAAAAAAGTGCAAGAAAATTTTGGATCGACGCTATATGTCATACGAGAGTGACAAAATATCTCTATCTATATGGGATATTAACGAACGAATCACATTATCTCGAAAATTTTTTCAATGGTCTTGTACGTGATATGAATCAAGAACAATGCGAAATTACGATATTTCTAAAGAAATACGTGATGGATCGAACACAGATAAAAAAGAAATGCGACAATAAAGTCGATCGTCGATCCTCCGATGAAATATCTTCGAAGGATTTATTAAAAATTACCAAGTTAAAAGTTCTCAATGATTTGAGTGATAATATAAAAAGAAGAAAAGAAGAGGATGACGGAAGAAAAAGAGAGAATTCAGAAGGAAGATTAACAAGTAATTTCGACATATGGTCGTTGCACGTGATACTGATAAAAGACGAACGTTCGTTGGAGCGAATTTTGAAGGAAGATGAGTCAGCTAACTGGATGTCACGGGTACACTTCATCGTAATGATAATATCAGATGACGTAGATAACCCCGTAGATAACAAATACGTGATGACGATCGAACGAACTTTAAAAATCCTTTGGTTGCGACGTCAAATATTAAACGTTTTAATTTTTTTACCCTTCGCGAAAAATGGGCCAAATCTGATGTATGCGTATGATCCATTCTTTCTAAACAAGAACGATGGTAGGGAAATTAAACCGTGTTTATAATCCTTTGACTGCCGTGGGCGCATATATGCGTCCAACAAAGGCCATTGCGGTGTCTGTTGGATGCATATATGCGCTCGGCCAAGGCTTTGCTTATTTACTATGCCGTATGTATGCCGCTCATGCGAAGGGCTTCAGCTTAGAACACTTCGGATCAGTCAAAGGGTTAATAATTTCCTTTCGAAGAATTTTCAAACAATTATACTCTCTCATTATTTATCATTCTTTATTACAGAAAGAGGTAAACTCGAGTCTATTAACGTCGTCTCAAAGGAGGACATATTTCAACGTTTGTCGACGTTAAATCATCGTCGTACGAACAATATGTACGGTTACAAATTAAACGTAGGTCTATTTCAACAATATCAAACTTTAATGAAAATGAGAGATAAACCATCCCCGGGTTCCATTTATAAATATTCCGCTGGATATAATGGGTCGGATGCCATTATACTTGGTACAATTGCTAAGTACATGAACTTCACCGTTAACGAGATCAATCCGAGGGATCAAATTAAATTCGGATACGAATTATCGAATGGCACTTACGTTGGAACCTTAGGTAAGACGTATAAAATGTAAAAGTAAAGTGAAATAGAATTAAACGATGACAACGAATAAGATAAAAAAAAAAAAGAAAAAAAAGAAAAAAGGAAGAAAAACAAGAACGAAAAACAATATGTAAAAATGAAAGAGAGAAAATAAAAAAAAGAAAAAAGAGATAGAGAAATATCTTTCAAAAATATTTTTGCCATTTCATTTGATCTGTTACACATATATACATACGTACATACGTACATACGTACATACATACATACATACATACATACATATGTGGCTTTTGTTATTAGGTGACATTGTCTATGGTAGAGTGGACGCAACTTTTGCCTCTTTCTTCATTAAAACTTATGGGAAAAGTAATAATAATTTTGAATTTACCAGTCAGATGGAATATGACAGCATCTGCGTGATCGTACCTAAGGCACGCAAAATACCGAAGTGGCTTCGAATACATTACATGTTTGAACCGTCTATCTGGATATGCACGATAATTTCGCCAATTATGATCTACCTGATGTGCTACGTATTACTGTTATTTACGAGGCAAAGGTAATGTCACGTTACGAAGTTAAATTTTTCTCCCTCCCTCCCTTTCCCTCGCGTTCTCTAAACATGGCTTTAAAAAAAAAAAAGAAATGAAAGAAAGAAAAAAAGAAAAAAAAAATGACAAAGACTAAACGTCAAGTATTCTTTTTATGAATGACACGAAACTGTCCGACGTCGTTCGAAGAGATAATGATCGGAAATCGCTTTAGCCAATGGCATTGATTAACTTTTCATTCGAAATATATATACCTTCGACATAAATAGGGGAAAATCCTCTTTGACATAGATGGATAATAAAATATAAATATCTATATGTAATAAATTCTTAAAGGGACCATGATCGATTAGACAGTAACATTTTTATTAATTCTTATACATTAAACTTCCTTCATTTATTTACTATTCATGTATTTAAGTATGTATGTATATATATATATATATATATTCTCTTCTTCTCTACTTTCTTTCTTTCATATTTTTCTTCTTTATGTTTTTGTTTTTTAGAACAAAAATTTACGATCACGTAAATCTCGCCTACAAAGTATTTCTATTTGCCGTTGGATATCCAAATAAATTGCCATGTTCTTATTTAGAAAGAATACTTTTGTCGACTCTTTCCATAACGAACATCACTATGGCAGGACTATTCGGAGGATTATTATATAAAAGTTTTTCCAACGACATGTATTACAAGGACATTGATTTATTAACAGAATTGGATGCTTCGGAATTACCAATTGTATTTATAAAATACAATTTAAATGATGTCTTTGATGACGAATCTGCGACATCGTTGGTACTAAATAATTTAAGAAGAAAATTGAAACACGGCGTGCAAGCGGTACGCGACGTCACATATTTTAGAAATGCAAGTGGATTGATCAGGAAGAAACATTATTATCTGTTAAAAAATAGTATAGTCAATGATGATCTATCGCCAAAATTACATCTTGTTAAAGAGTGTCCACGTAATTATTAATTTCGTTAAATTTATTCAATTACTCGGCTAAGTATTTGTGGACGTTTTTGTTCTTTCTCTCTTTCTTTTTTAATTTTCTTTTTTCTTCTTCTAATTTTTTTTTTTTTTTTTTTTTTTTTTTTTTTTTTCCCCAGGTAATTACTACTTAGCATATCCCATACCGAGGAACTCGTATTTGCTCGAAAAGTTCAATCTCCTGATTGGCAGATTAAATCAGGGAGGCTTATTGACATTGTGGAGTAATCGTACTATCATGAATTTGATTAACAGAAGAAGAGGAACACCGAAAAGACAGGCTCATGCGGGAGACAAATTTGTCCCGTTCAATTTGGAAGACATGCAGACGTCATTCTATTTGCTAATAATTGGTCTATTAATTTCGTCTATCGTCTTTTGCGATGAGAAGGGATGGCTAAGAAGACACGTGAAAAAAAGAAGAAAGAAAATTTATCCAAACGAAGAGGATACATCTAAAGGGGAAAAATAAATAAAAGAAAAAAAAGAAAAACACCCGAGAAAAATGTTCTTTTCTTTTTTTCAAACATAATTACGAAATACGAGATCTCTTATTAGACCTGTTAAATTTATCGATCAAATCTACAACGATTATTTCTAAATTTCTAACAATATATATTTATAAAATATTTATAAAATAATTACGATATATAAGTATATATCATTTCAATAACAGTTCAGGAACAGGGTGAATAATATCGTAATACAATCGTATCGTAATTTTGAAATTATTCGTGTATAACTTGAAGCGATTTCTGTATTCGACGTAAATGTCATAACTTTATTTATGATGTCGTTTGTATATATGTAAATGATAAATCAAACGAATAATATTCCGCTGAATTTAATTTCGATTTACATTGGATATTATTCTTCTTTTTTTTTTTCTTTTTTTTTAATTATTACATGGTAATTAAATTATACGATGAGAGGTCAATGTACTCTATACGTATACCTTGTGTTTTTCAAAGTTTTGCGATTATTTCAACGTCAATGCGTGATAGTAAATGCACGTTCGTACGGCAAACAAAACTACAAGGTAATGGGGATTTATTTTAAGAATATCTGAAAATACGCTCAACACTATTTCTCTCTGGTGGTAAGCTCAGTTGAGTGTCGTTGGTCGTTGATGAGTTATCATGGTACTACCAAAAAGTAATATATTTTATACGATAGCGATAAGTCTGATAAGTAAGTATCAATTAAATTTATATATCATCGAAGGCTTCCTTTTTAAAATAGAGAAAAAGATATATTGTTGAAAAAGCAAAAAAAAAAAAAAAAAAAGAAAGAAAAATAGAAGAGAAAAAAAAGCATACGCACGATATAAATTAATAAGAAATCATTCCTTTTCTATTTATCAGATATATCATCAATTTGGACATTGAACATAAACGATCGTCGATACGATGGTTATGACCTGGAAAGAGGTCCCGTATTTTATGAAGCTTACTATCCGGAAAATAATGAGAACAATCCAACAGCATACCAAGAAAAACGTTATTTCGATCGGGACGCTGTAATTGAGAGAACGTTTCAAATACCTACTGACCGAAGAGAATACATCGAAGATAGATCAAAAAATGATTATCTCGATCGTTTAGAACATTCACAGTACGATAGATCAGGTGGATTGATCATTTCCGATCCGAAATTTTCAATGAACCAAAACTATCCGAATATTGAACCATCTAGGATTTATGAAGTAGCACGTAAATTTTACGATATAAATCGTTTTTCACCGACCTACATCGAACGAATTCGAAATACTCCGGAAGACTCATTATCGTCATCATCTTCGTCGTCGTTGTCGTCGTCGTCGTCGTCGTCGTTGCCGTCATCAAAAGATTTAGAAAATTGGAACTCATTGGAGAATTACTTACGCTTTGATCCAAGCTTCAATGATCGTCGTAACATTGACAAGATTGACATAAATAGATCCAATTTTCGAGTAATTCCGGAACGTGATTTAAATCAAGAAAATATTTTTCAAAAGGAAAACGAAGACAGCAATGAAACCAAATCACCTAGGCTTATTCGAAATAATCTATCTGATCTATCATCGGGAATTATAAAACCTTTGGAAATTTCAAAAGAATTCGAATTAATAAGGAAAGTGTCACCGAGAGATTTACAAGATCGAAATACGTTCGACGCAATCGATAATATAAATTATATGGGATATCCAAGGCAACAGTATCGTTATTTTAGAAATATTAATGATCCGCAGGAATCGCAAACGTGGATGTCGAATTTTAAAAATCTTCGAAATGAAGAAATTGAAGAGATTCCAAGAAATATTGATTCGTCGTTACCTTCGGAAAATATCTTTGTTCCGAGACCTCAAGTGATCAATTATATATTTTCAAAGGATTCGTCGATCGAACGAACCGAGAAACCAATTATCATGAAGGAAATTACAAGAGGAAACGATGAACCTCGAAAATACGACGACAATTCTTTCCAAGAGGAATTAAAAAAGGAGGAAGAAAAAACAAAAGATAAAAGTACAAAAGTTACGTCGATTGAAATAAGCGAAGTACCAAGACACAAGGTACGCCATCATCACGGCGAATGGCTGCGTGATTTCTCTCGTGGACAAAATTAATTTAATTGGTACTAATTGATTTAAAAAAAAAAAAAAAAAAAAAAAAAAAAAAAAATAAAGAAAAATAAAAAATAAAAAATCAAGTTTGACCGCATTCTCACGATGAAATTCAATTCCATCATTAATTATTGACATAAAATAATTAGATAAGTCGATCTTTTTAAGATTCATCCACTTTGAATAGTACATTTATTATTATTATTATTATTATTATTATATATTTATAATTATACAATTCTTTGTAACAGTGTAGAATATAATCTCTCTATAAGAGACTTTATCCCTCGTAATTAAATATCGAAAATACACTTCTCATAAATGAAGATTAATTGATTAATTATATATAATATATATAAAGAAAGAGAGATAAGAAAAATAATTGCCTCCATACAAAATTATTTTGATGAAAGTAGTAAAAGTATTTACAAAATACGACAAAACTTATCGCGCAAGATCATCTTCTTTTTATGATAAGTGTGTACATGTAATGATTTATTTATTTCGAAAAAATATATATATACATATACATACATACATACATATATACATATATACATATATATATATATATATATATGTATGTATGCATAACTTTTTCGAAAGATATTGATAAATATCAATGAGTAAGCAAATGATATATTAAATTTACGCATAAAAAAAAAAGAACTTATGATTAATAATAATCTATCGGAATACTTTTAAATGTAGTCTCTGATCAACAACTTTTTAGAAATTGCTTATTCTTTTGAATTCTACATAAAATATTAGACATGCTTAATATACTAAGTCACCAAAAAATTTAATAACTGTAAAATAGTATAGAGATAGAAAAAAGAAAATATTTCTAAAATTATTGAAGCCAAAAAACATGGTTATTTTTTGATGAATGTAAATATTTATAAATGAGACATGGGCCATTCTTAAAAATGAAAGATATATCATACTTTGGCACTTTAATTTTATCTTTCAATAATATCTTAAACTTAAAGAGGAATGTTTGTACTATTTTAATTACTAATAATTACATATCTTTTATATTCAGATAGAAAATAAATTATTATGTTTGCATTACGATAAAATATCGTTTGGGTTTAATCCATACTGTTATAAAGAACGCATGATTTTAGATGTAAAGGCAAATACAAGACAAAGCCAAATGTACTTCGTAAGTAACCTACTCTATTGGAACACAACTTCGTTTGGTGAATAATCTCAGTTAGCTATATCTAAATTGTTACATTTTATTCACTAAGTCCTCTCTGTATTTTTATCTATTTAAGACAGTATTATTTCATAAAAGTTTAATTCAACGTAATATACTCTTTTAGTTGTATCTGTATGAGACATTTAAATCCGTTTTTGTGAAAAATATAACTGTTTAATATTTTAATCTTTTTCACAACTATATTATAAATCTTAGTCTGATCATGTAAATTGTTTTCAATATTTATATGTTGGGCACTATTATCAGGTAAAGATTCTGATACATATCTTTAATTTTAATTCTTAGTCTCTTTCAATGATTTTCTCATTTTAATATATATATATATATATATATATTTTTGTTTCTTTTTTTATAAGTTATCAGATAAATTTTGTTTATCCATTTATGCTTGAAATATTTTTTACGCATTCTTTTTTTTTTATCTAATTACAGTAAACACAGTTTACCATTACATTAAATTAATAGGTTAAATGTTTTCTTTCATTTTTGACAATTACTTTCTCCATAAAATCATTAACATAATGATTTTCAATCAATTTCTAATCATAAGATATTTTTGTGACATTACATAAATTCATGAATAATACTTATCCTTGGAAATGTTTAATTTAGCTATCTACAAATTATAAAGAATACATATGTTATTTAACCCTTTTTGTATAAATTCTAAATGAGCAATTTTCAATACCCATTTTATGCTTTGACGTTTAATTTGGAAGAAATAAATTCACGCAGCTTCTCATAAGCTTTATTAAGATTATCATTCTCGATCACAATGTCAAAATTACCTGGCTGTTCACCTGTAACACGAATATAAATCCAAATTATAAAATGAAATTTTAATTATTATTTGTACGAATAATGTGAAAATTGTATTAATTTATTACACACCATATTCCAATTCTGTCTTAGCAATAGTTAATCTTCGTAACAAAGATTCATCTGTTTCCGTTTTCCTATTTTTTAATCGTTCTTCTAATACATCTATAGACGGTGGTTTTATAAAGACATACAGAGGATTTAAAGTACTATTTTTAATTTGTTTGACACCTTCTATTTCAATATCTAATATACATATTTTCCCGGCTTCTTGAACATTTTCAACGGCAAGTTTACTAGAAACCATATAAAATTTCATTTTTTTTACTTGCAAACTAAAATAATAGGACATGCTTATTTGAAAGATTTAATAATGTTTACCTGGTTCCATATAAATTTCCACTATATGATGCAGTTTCAAGAAATTCACCGTTGTCTATCTGTCTCTGCATTTCTTCTTTATTCGTAAAGTAATAATGTTTACCATTCTCTTCACCAGCTCTAGGAGTTCTAGTTGTATGCGATATAGAAAATCCGAATTTATTTGGAAATTCTTTGAATAAACGTTCCAATAAAGTACTTTTTCCGCTTCCAGAAGGACCAGCTATTACTAACGCACAAGAATTTTTTTGCAACATTGTACGAATTCCTATAAAAAAAGATAAGGATATCCATTGATCAATGATTTATCCAAATTTTTTACATTCACGAATTAAACAATATGTATAAATGTAATTAAATGTAATATGCAATAAAATTGTTAATTGAATTATATGATCCAAATTCTGCATACCTATATTATGAATATTTAATAATTTCATGCAATACAATGACGTTGTATATCGTGATATACAAAGAAATCTTATTGTAGGATAAATCATTTTTTTTATTACTACAATATATTCTTCACTTTATAACATTAACACAATTAGTCTTTACCAGATCACTAATGCATATGTCAAGCATGTACAAAGTAAAACCTTATCACTTTTTTCACAATTGATAACTGCATTTTTCTTTACACAACATAACTGCAAATGCATATGAAATAAAAAAAAATTACGCACAATTTTAATATTAGGATAAATTGAAGATTAAGTAAAAATAAAAAGTTTCGTGAAAAATTATAATTGAAAGAATTACGTCACGTGATGATGATCTTGAACAATGAAAAATTCAATTTTGTCCCTTTTGAGAAGGGTAATATATATATTAAAATATTTTATCTCAGTGTTGTCAACATAACAGAAAATATATTCATGTATTTGTATAGATGTATTAATGAAATAAATATTGAAAATGTTGAAATTTTATATTCGATAATTATGTTTAGATAGAATCGAAGGCAAATGACGTATTAACTTACTGTACACTTGTAGGCGTTCGTTCAATAGATAAATAGTATGAACATAACCTATAGGAAAAAAAAAAGAAATTTAAATTTTTCGAAGTGAAAAAAAAAAACTATATAATTTTGTTACGTTGACAAAAAAATCAACAAATTGGAAAGAACAAGTCGTTCTTTTTTTTTTTCTTTCTTTTTTCGTACAAAAATATTAGTCCAACACCGGCCGCTTGTTACACCATCATAGTATTGGTACAGCGACGATTAACTATGAGATGGTATACGCATGCGCGTTTATTTACCGCAAATCGAAGGATTATTTGCGATTCCGTTCATCGATTATTTTTGCGATCGTAGTACATAGTACTTACACCTGTGACCGTAAATATGGTGTAATGGGAGTTTCCTCGTAAAGCTATTTATTATCTCTGTTTTTATAATGATTTAAACCAACAATGAGAACAAGCGTAATTCTTAACTAATTTTTGATGATTATTTTTGATGATCATAAAAAATATCTTTCGAGAATAATTTATACATAAATATGAAGATTTAACCTAAAAAACAAAAAAATATAAAGTTTGTACAATTAACAAATACTTTTTCAAGTAATTCATTTTCAAAGAAGTATAATCTTGTATATATTCTTTGCTTCCTTTTGTTAGATGTATTATTATCTTTATTAAATATACAAAAAAATTTACTAATAGTTGTAATAGCAGAAGTATTATAATATGAATTAATTTTACAGGAGTTACCATTTTTAAGAAAAGCGCTATGAGTTTTAGCATTTATAGATAATGTGAAAAAAAAACTCATCTTTTGAGTTTTATTAAAATAATATATGATATATATATGTATATATATTAATTGTTATTGTTAATCAAATAATCGACAAAATTTTGTTTTTATTTTTCTTTTTATATTGCAAATTTATATAACAATTATTATAGGTATTAATTATTATTCTTTAATATAAATAAATATTCATCTAACCTATAAAAGAACTTAAGAGATGTACGTTTCAACAAATAAATAATAATACATATAAATATAATATATTCAAAAAATGTAAGTTCAGTTTAACAATAACAATACTTTAACAAAACTAATGTAACAATTGTTAGGTTATGTGCGAGAAAGATACAAATCGATCGTCGATAAGGAAGATACCAAACAATTGTTTATAAAAACGTCGAAGACGTACTTTGGAAAGAGACAAGGCGACATCATCTCGTTTCCTTTTTTAAAATAAATTCATTTCATCTGATAACGACGCATTAATAATGGCGAAAGATACGTACGATAATAATGATTTGGATTGGTTAAAAATAAGAGAAGTTGACGATGAAGAATATCCCGTTGGACAATTAGCTGAAACTCCAAAGGAGAAATTATTTCGTAAAGTACGAGAAAATCCTTTCGTACCATTAGGTAAACATAACCTCTTTTCGAAGTACAATATAATTTAATATTTGATATTAATTATAAATTCTATCATGAAAACGTATATAATAACGTGTATGATCATCAAAATTCAAGTTATTTCTTAATAACATTAATAATAATAACTATTTTATATTATAATAATCTAATAATGGTACGAGTATTATTCTTGAGATTTTATTAAAATATAAATAATTTCAGGTACGCTTGCCACAGTATCTGCTCTCACTTACGGATTATACAATTTTTCTATAGGTAATACAAAACTATCACAATATATGATGCGTACACGTGTTGCTGCTCAAGCTTTTACTTTCATTGCTATAATTGCTGGTCTTATGTTAACGCAGAATAAAATTAACTCTAAAACATAATATATATGAAGAAATGTAAACAAATCTTCTAAGCATAGAAAGTTGATTTTCAACATATTTAGATTTATGTTATCATAAATAACATCATATAGTTTAAACTTTTCTAAATGTCTTATAAATTCGTATATCCAAACCACTCTATTATTTGTAGAAATAGTAAAAAAAAAAAGAAAGAAAGAATACAAAATATTATCTTTATTTAGATTTAAACAAGAAATTGTCTACAAAAATAAAAAAGAAAATAAAAGTTACAAATATGACTTCTCCTCGGCAAAAATGAAAATAAAAATAATCTAATTCATATTACACTTTATTTTCTAACATATAATACTTTCAATCAATGTTCCAGGACGGATAAAAGGTCACAATTGAAATTCATTTTTATAATCGCTTTTTACCTTTTATTCGACCATTCATTGATCGTTTATATCTGGAACAACTTTAGCATATGTTATTTAGTTATCGAGATGTAACATTTGCTGATGGAATTATTTGGCAAGACAACGACTTGTAATAAAAATAATTTCAAATATTTGAACTAATACGATATAGATCCACGTCAAATAATTGTGACATGATTTATATAGCACTGATATTTGACATTGATACGTTTACAAAGCAATATTTATGTATATATGTATATATGTATATATATATATATATATATATATATATATATATATATATATATGTATATATTGTTTAGAAATATATTCAAAGATGTGTGAAGATACATAAAATATATTTTCTTCGAATATCTTTGTAAAATAAATATATATATATATATATAATATATATATATATGTATGTTAACATTCATGACTGATCTTTATTTAAAAAGGACCAGCGATGCTTCACGCCAATAGAACTTAATTTGTACATACTATTATTGCGTAGTGATCGAGTATGAAGATTATTCGACGTATTGCCAAAAACATTGCTAGGTTTAGTACAAGAAATGTCTTGTACTGAAAACCTTTGTGTACTATACAAACTAGATGGAATAGATTCTGAAACGAAAAAAAATTTATTATAGGAAAAGATAAAGCTGTTTAAAAATATGTAGCAATATAGTTTGTTACAATTTATAAAAATTTTACCTATCAATGATGTTTCATCGTACAAAGAACCTTGTCTATTATTACAAAAGATAGAAATATTGTCCATTGATTGTACTCGTTGAATTGTTTGCCCTGCACTTTTCCATCTATTATGATCTTTCGAATGTGTCGTTAGATATTTCATCCATTCCAAAGCTTCTTTGTTTGATTTTAATAGGATTATAATCGTTTTTTTGATACCATCGATAAAATTTGTTATTAAAAGTTTTCTAGACGAATGTTTCGAAAACTGAATGATAGTATCCTAATAGGAATAATAATAAAAATATTTAATTATTTCATTAGAGACATTCATATATGCGATATAATTCGAAAGTATTATCGAACTAACTTTATCGATAGGAATAGTATGAATCACATTTTTCTCTTCGTCTTCCAATTCTCTAGAAAACCACGTTTTAATGGAAAAATTACGCAGACGTGCCCAATACTTTTGACTATTTATATCAATTATGCCTGCATAAATATCTGAGTTAATGCATTCCGGTTCAACTGCTAAGCGACAACAAAAGTATCCAAAAAGTGGTAACATACAATTCTTGTTTTCTGAAAAGAGGATTAAAGATTTATAGATAATTGAATATATGATATAAGTATGCAAAAAGAAAAAAAATTGCTTAAAAATGATGTTAACGAAATAATCATTGTATGTCCAATCATACGCATGCCTTATCATTACTGACTATACAGACCTTGGATATTCAAATGTGTATGTAATATATCTCAAGGGTATGTCCAAAGATCTGTTGTATACATCTCATACTCTTCTAATCACAACCAAGTTATTGATGTTAGTTTAAAACATTAAAGAAATATTGTCTCACCAACATGATTTATAACAAGATCATGCGTTCGTACACCATTATCTGTTTCTTCTATAGTCAGTTTGGCAGAGGCAGCTAGTTCAAAGCGTGGACCTCTACAAATATAATAATAACAACAATAATAATAATAATATAAATCTTGAAAAAAAGATTAATTTTAATAATTATAAATATGATTAATAAACTTACAATTGGGTAGAATTGATATCTCCATTTAAAGATGCACTCAATCTTTTACCGAGTGTTTTGGATATCGACGAATGTATTGTTTTTGTAATTTTCAATGGAGTACTTGCAATGCTAAAATCTTCTTCTAGCATACAGCTATAAATTTCTAATTTCAGCTCGAATTCTGCTGGTACATTATTACTATAAAGAATAACAGTTAACAAAACATTATTCATAAATCTATCCATTATGATACATAAGATGATAGAAGAATTTATTTAATATTACTCACAATATTAAAGGATTGATAAAGGTAATATCTGTATGCGTTCTGTCAATAGGACAGAGTAAAATTGTATCGCATATCTCTGTTCCTATACGAGCCATACAAAAAACAGCAAATCTTCTATAATCCCCACGATTTTTAAAATGATCCAAATCTTTCCACATCAATGGAAATCTAAGCTCCGAAAGTGAAACCGTTGCTGTACTGTCAGATTGCCTAAATGTATAATAAATTTTCTTTACTTTTTATCCTTAATATATATGCGTAAATAAACATAAACAAAAAAAAAACCAATATAAATACTTTGACAAAATTTCGGCCGAATGCTTTTTACGACGTTGTAATTCTTTCATGTACATAGACATTTTTTCATTCGATATAAACAATGCTCGCGCCGCTTCTAAACTTTGTGTACGATGGCGAGCAGCCGCCAGTAATTTTGTTGATCCATCCCTAATTTGTATTTCTACGCCTACTTTTCGTTCTAAATCACGTTCCTAAAACAATGATTTCATTTCTTATAAAAACATCGAAACAATCTATATTCACGTAGAAAATAAAACTTTTGAATTTACGAAGAAACAATATTTTGGACTCATTTTACCAGTACAAAAGTTTAAATGGATTTTATAATAAAATTTATTACATCTTACCGTAGCATTTCTTACACTTCTTACAGTATCTCGTCTTCGTACTCGAGTTTGATAATCGGTCAAACGACGCAAATAAATGTTTTCTTTTTCCGAGGCATCGTAATTCGATTTAGATGAAGACACTATTTTCTTTCCGCGGGTTATTATAGGAGCCATTTTGGCTTATGTACGTACTTGAAATTAAATTACACCGACAAAATATAACAGTCTTTCAACGTGATGCCGTAGGATTGGTGGAGCAAGTGAGGTTCGATTTGATTGGTCGAAGGTAGTCACGTGACTTCGTGGACATAAGACGTAAAGACCAAATCACATTTTAACAGTATAGACGAACCCGTGAGAGAGAGAGGTACTTGCGAGTAAATTGAGAGGTAAGATACAAATAAATCTATTAAAATACAATAAAATAATATGATAAAAGTTGCGTTGATAACTCATGAGATTTACTTTAAGTAAAATTAAATACATACGTATGTATCGTTATATTATTTTTTTTTTGTGTTTTTTGTTTTCTTATAATCATATTTTAATTATACAATCAATACGTTAGTATTCGTTTTCATGGTTATATACACGCACTTGTGATAAACGTAATTTGCATAAATGTGAAGAAGCATAAAATTGTAACACCCAAATGGAAAGTAGAAATAATATCTAGTAGAAATATTTCTAAAAGGCTCTCTTACTTCTTGTCTTTTTCTTTTTCTTTAGTTTTATCTTTGTCTTTATCCTTATCTTTTTCTTTATCTTTGTCTTTATTTTGTTGTAAGGAACCAACAGCTTGTAGAACAGTTTCGGATTGTGGATCAACACCAGGTAAATTTTCTAAAACTGATTGTAAAAATGCGGCATCTGACATAACAGCACTATAATCTTCCTCTACTTCCATTGCTTCTTCTTTTTGTGTTTCAAGATCTTCTAAAATATAAATAATTTCATGTAAATAAAACAATCGAAAGACATACGTGCGCTTGTGTATATATTCATACATATTCATTATTTATTTATTCGATATAATAATATCGAATATCTCGACTTACGTTGATCTTGCATTGACATTTGCATTGCAAAAGCGATCTGTTCTTCTTCCGACATATTAGCAAAGTCAGGTATATTTGCGCTAGTAGGAGCAGTATTTTCAGCAGTAGTCGACGTTGTTTCTTCAGCTCCTTCAAGAGACATCGCCAATGCTCGTTTCAACATAGCTTCCTCATTAGTTACTTCCTTAATAGTTTCTGGTTGTTTATTTTGAACATCTTCATTTACTTGTGCACGACGTGCTTCGTCTTCTTGTCGTTGACGTTGTTCCTCCATAGAAACACGTAAAGCCTGAAAAATTTTTTAATTTATGATTTTTCATTCCAATTTATTAATATTTCTGAGATTGTAATTGGGATTAAAATTAATAATACTAATTAAAAACAAGTACCAGTGCAAGTTCAGGATCTTCATTAGGATCAACGCCAAATTCAAATGCAGCTCCGCTCATTCCTGCTCCACCCATTCCATCTTCTCCTTGAATTATAGGAGAAGAGATCAAGGCATCCGACAAATGTGGACCAGGTGGTACGGTGACAAGGTGACTACCAGTTCCATCTTTACCATTCAGTGCATTGATAAATGCCGTTAATACATCATTATTAATACTTTCCTCGCCAAAACTTATTATATCTACATTGACTTTTTCTTTCTTGAGTCGTTTTGCTAGTTTCACCAATTCTTTTTCATCTATTTGTACCGGACTTCCAACAAATGCTACAATTCGCATTTTGTGATTCTTACCCTGTCGATGCTTTAACGCTAACTATAAATAATAAATAAATAAATAAATAAATAAATAAATAAATAAATAAATAAATAAAAAAAAAAAAAAATTTAAGAATCTTTGATTTCTTTTCTCTTTTTCTTTTTTTTTTTTTTCTTTTTTTTTTTAAACACTTACATGTGCAATTCTAATTCCTGTGATTAAACATAAATTTCCATTTGGTTGAACTTGATGAAGCTTTGAAAGTATTCTACCAACATCGCTGGTAAGTGTTGCTAAAACTTCAACGCTGAAAGAAAATAAATATAATTAAAATTAGTAATAAAGTTTCTTCGTTCCATCATTTTATTTACAAAACTAATACATTATTTATACTCACTTGGCAAGTGTTATGAGACCAACATTATTTTCTGGATTTGAACGAGTTTTTGAATGACATACTAAATTTACTGCATCTTGTTGAGCCTGTAGACGAGTTGGCAAAAAATCTCCATTTCTCATATAATCGCTATTATCGACACTGTTAAGAAATTTATATAAACAATTTCAAATTAGGTTATATATATATATATATATATATGTATGTGTATACATACATATGTACATTATTAAATAACAATATAGTGGATTACAATAAACAAACAGAAAAAATTAAATGTATACATTATATATTATATCCTTATACATGTACATACATATATAAAAAAAAAAAAAAAAAAAAAAAGAGAGAGAAAAAGAAAATAATAAAAAACAAAAAGTTTCTATTGTTTTCATGTTTACATTCAAAAATATATACGTATATAAAAGATGTTTTTTAAATCATTAAGAAGTTCGAAATTCTTTCCTCAAAGTTTGCATTGTCATCTCAGAAACCATATATTTACGAATTAGATTATTATTTACCATGGGATATCTCTAACATATTTTTTTTTATCCGTGTTAGAAAAAAAAACTTAACAATTCGATATAAATAAATGTATATAATATTGAACTATGTTTTTGCAGATAATTTATCAAAACGTACCATATCATTGTACTTTCCAGCACCATCTTGTAAAGATACACCAATCCTTGCCGTTAACTATTCACTGTTTTCACAACCTCACCACCTTGTTCACGTTTCAACTTTCCATTGATCAACTAAAAAACCTAGAGATGTATCCTCCATTAATCGAATTTGGTTCACATTCGATTTATTATGTTGATAGAACTGAAGAGAACATATATTTTTTTTCTCTTAAGTTGGTAACACAAGTTGTCCGTCAGTGTATATCGGCTTTTATTACGCATACATGAAAAGTGTTTAATATGATTGATATAAAAAAATGTATATACTCGGATCATTTATAATGAATTATTTAAAAAATAAAATTAAACAATCAATCAAAAAATATTGTAACATTTTATAAATAATTTTTTTTTTTATACTCTTTTAAAGATTTACAAAAAATTTGTTTTACTCATGCAGTAATACTACATCTGTATTTATGAAAATAGAAATTCTTTTACTTCTACCTCATAATGTTTTATCACATCAATTGTTTCTTTTTCTTTTTTTTTCTTGTTTAGTTTCTGCTATGTAATTCTGAAGATTAATTTGTGATTGTAACTTGGGCAGAAAAAATTTAATTTCTATTGTTTATAATTTTTTGTTTACAAGAACAAACATATATTTATACACATATATATATATATATATATATATATTATAATTTGTGTATTATCTAACAATGATTCTACAAACATATATAATATTATTATATTATTTACTTTCATTTTTATGTAAAGGACAAAATATTGTGTTAATTATAGCTGATGATTTAGATCTAGTTCTAGATGGGATGGTAAGGATATAATTTGAAATAGATATCAATGATATTATTTTATCTTTTATTAATTATATCTAATCAATTTTATAGACACCAATGAAGAATACGTTAGATCTTATAGGAGGTAAAGGTGCAACATATTTAAATCAAGTACGTTTCATTGATTGAAATTATTTATAATATTGTTTTTATGATTTAAAATAATATTTATGACAAATTGTTATAATTATTCTATTATATAGTTTGTGGCATCACCAATTTGTTGTCCTAATAGAGCTTCCATTCTAACCGGTAGATATCAACATAATCATTTAACAGTAAATAATTCTATTTCTGGTGGTTGTAACAGTATTGGATGGCAAGAAAAACAGGAACCTAATACGTTTGCTGCATATTTAAAAAATGAAATGAATTACGTTACATTTTATGCTGGCAAATATTTGAATCAGGTGTAATATATTATTTATTATCATATTAGAATTAAGTTTCCTTTTAAATACAGGCTATTATATAATTTGAATGTATTAGTATGGAAGCAAAAGTGTTGGCGGGGTCAATCATATTCCACCAGGTTGGGATTGGTGGGCGGCTCTTGTTGAAATTCAAAATATTACAATTATATTTTGTCTATTAATGGTACAAAAAAACAATATGGAAATAAACCTGAGGATTATCTCACAGATGTGATAGTAAGCCAAATATTGAGAATTGCATATACATATTTATATAAGTTTATATTAAAAAAAAAAAAATCTCATCAAAGCAATATTATTTCATTATAGGCCGATTTAGTTAAGGAATTTTTTAATCAATATAACTCCTATGATAATCCTTTTCTAATGGTACTGTCACCTCCTGCACCTCATGCACCTTTTACACCAGCTGTAAGGCATATTGATAAGTACAAAGATATAAAGGCCAAGAGAACCCCAAATTTTAATACTTTGACTCAAACAGTATATATTTTTCGATTATTTTAATAATAAATCTATTGGAAGAGAATTCATTTCAGGCTATTATATTAATTATTATTTATAAATAGGATAAACATTGGTTGGTCAGGAGAGGACCGTCGCCTCTTCCGCAAAAAATATTACCAAAATTAGATGAAATTTATAGGCGAAGATGGGAAAGTCTTTTGGCTGTTGATGAACTTGTTAAAAGTGTACATGACATATTAGAACAGAAAAATCTTTTGAAAGATACATATATTATTTTTACATCGGACAATGGATATCATATTGGTAATAAATATTTAACGTGGAATGATTAGTGCAACAAAGAACTTATTGTTTTCGTTTTTTTTTTTTTTTTTTTCTTTCTTTTTCTCCATTAATAGGACAATTCAGTATGCCAATGGATAAACGTCAACCATATGAAACTGACATAAGAATTCCATTACTGATCAGTGGTCCTGGGATATCCCATTCAACTGTAACTAAACCAATTAGTAGCGTAGATTTATTTGCTACGATATTACAGATAGCTGGCTTAGAACGTCCCTCTGATGGAATATCTTTTTTAAGAAAAACATTATCAAACGACCGAACAGTTTTAATAGAATATAGCGGAGAAAAGTCAAAACATAAATCAAATATCGGATGTCCTAGTGATAATGATTTAAATCTCGCTGTAAGTAAAATGTACAAAAAAAAAAAAAAAAAAAAATTTATACTTTTATAAAAATTTAAATATAACACATATATAATTTTATTTTAAGCTTTGCAATAAAGAATTGTCTTGTAAATGCGAGGATGCCGCAAATAATACTTACAGTTGTATTAGACGTATTTCTCCGTTATACGATAATATTTTTTGTATATTCGAAGATAACGAGGTATTTCGGCAATGAATAATTTTACACGCTTAGTTGTAACGTTTGAATTGTAATTATATATTTTATTTTTTATAGGCATACATCGAGGCTTATGATCTAAAACAGGACAATTATCAAATGAATAATATCGGCTATAGTATGAAACGTGAACATAGATATAAATTTAGGAAACGTCTTAAAAAAATGGTTTCTTGTAAGGATAATGAATGTATTTTTACAAACTTGGGAAATACGTATTATTAATTATCTTATAGAGAAAAAAAAGAGTTAACTATTATTAATTATATAATATTAAAATTATATAATTATTTATATATATATATAGATGAAGATATATATTTTTTCTGTACATAGAAAATGTTTTAAAGTACCTCTAGATAATATTCATAATAAAAATGTCTATAATATAAAATTATTTTTCATTACTCTAATATAAAAAAAAAAAAGATGGTTGGATATTGAAAGTTTGAAGTGCCGATAGCCGTCTTACTTCGCATTATTGCGTTTATGGAAATCGCGTATGGCGGATAGGTCGTGAATCTGGATATAAGAATAACTCGCAGCTTCCTCTCTCGGAGCTGCGTCCCTATCGAGCTGTTTTCTTAGCAAATATTTTTATTAAACCCCGCGGTCTCGAATATCTGAATAGCAATCGCGCTATTTGGTAGGGAAAGAGAGAGAGAGAGAGAGAGAGAGGGAGAGAGGGAGAAAGAGAAAAAGAGAGAAAAAGAGAAAGATAGTAGAAGAGAGGAGAACGATCCAGATAAAACGTACAAACTTTAACTTCTCCATTGCGAGATATTTTTTCAACTAAAACGTTTTGAATTCTATACGGATTTGCGCCGAACGAATAGGCGACAAGGATTGAGATACATATGTATATCGATAGATACATATAATAATATAGATGGATCGATCGATATATATATATATATATTATATGTATATAATATATTCAAAATGTATTTATTAAAGAGATAGAAACAGGATGGATACTATTTATATTACGTTTAAAATAAAATAACGTTGAAGTATAATATATATTCGAATCGAAATCGGAACAAAAGGAGAATTCCGTTCAAGTTTCTGTAAAAGGCACGAAGCGTAAGGATCAATTGATCATCGGTCGAGGATTAACAACGATCCTTCGTTCGAATTGTAAGGTCGTTACATCGCTACTGAAACGTATAAGTCGGCTTGCCAGAGAAGTCCTTTCTTTTTCTTTTTCTTTTTTCCTCTCCTCTCCTCTCTCTCTCTCTCACTCTCTCTTTCTTTCTTTTTCTCTTTCTCTTCATTGATCATTCGAGCGAGTGATCGCCTTTTTGTATACCAGGATCAATGGCTTTCGTTGGCTTCCAAACTGTGGATTCTCGCTTTTCTGTGCAACGCTCCCTCCCTCTACACTCTCTCAAACCTCCCTCCTTTCATCTCCCTCTCCTCCTCATCCTCCTCCAACTCCACCCCCCGCCCCCCCGGTGATCTGCATCCTCGCGAATGCTTACCGACTTATGCCACAAAATAAATCACAAAAAGAAACGACGAACCTTTGGAATCACGTCGAGAGAAAGAGAGAGAGAGAGAGACAGGAAAAGAGAAATGCATTGAAAATTTGAAAACGAATTTTTCTTGCTCGTTTCATCGAAAACAAGTCCATAACTATAGGTCTGTGTTAAATTTTACTCGGCCTTCTTCAATTTCCGACGAATGAAAATTTAAATTCATTTATTTATTTATTTTTTTTTTGTTTCTTTTCACTTCCGGTTATCGATCTCTTTCTTTCCCTCTCGTTATTTCAAAGTTACAATAATATTTTTTTTTTTTTTTTTTTTTTTTTTTGAAGCATCCTTTCCTCCTCAAAATCTTTTCTAATTAATGAGATTCTTTGTTAAAATACGATAATTAATCATCGTCGATCTATATTCGTGTAAATGAGCAGCTGTGATACACAATAAATTATATTCACCCCCTTCTCTCTCTCCCTTTCTCTCTCTCTCTCTCTCTCTCTTTCTCTCTCTCTCTTTCTCTTTCTTTTTCTCTCTGAGAGACAATGTTTCTCTCACTCTAAGCTCGACAACGCGGAAAATGCGAATTTACAGAGAGGACTAACGAATCGGAAAATAACAAGATAGAAAAGAGAAAAAAGTTCCTTTGACGAAGTTTACGCTTATCTCGTGGTACGCATAACAAGATTCGATAACTCGACGAGCGTGCGTGTAAATGATCGAACGAACGAGGAAATAAGAATAAATGTATACAATTGTACAATTGAAATTAATTATTAATTATTTAATCAAGATGGAAACAATGATGTTACAGTAAAAAAAAAAAAAAAGAAAGGAAAAAAGAAAGAAAAAAAAGGACTAACTTTATTCGTTTGCGAACTTTATTTATTTTTTAATTTCATTGATTTTTAAAACGCGTCGAAATTAAAATCGAACGAGTCATAAAAATTAAAAATATTCGACAAAAAAATAATTATCTTCGAACTCCTTCCAATCTCTTCTTTTCCAATCTCCTTTCAATTTATATAAACGAATAATAATATTAATAATAATAATAATAATAATAATAGTAATAGTAATAATAATAATAATAATAATAATAATAATAATAATAATAATAATAATAATCTACGAATTCTTTAAAATGAATGATCATTATAGTTATTTAAAGATGATTGCTAATACAGAGAAAGAATTTGGCAATGTCGAATCTTAAATTAAAAATTAATCAATAATTATTTCGAAAAAATAAATCGATAAATCGTTGAAAGTTTGACGTCTTGTCATCATCCCCTTCCCCTCTCTCTCATGAAAATTAATATCGAAGGTAAGTTTGGGGAATTGTGAATAAATTAAGACAAATCTCTCTCTCTCCCTCCCTCTCTCTCTTTCTCTCTCTATATATATATATATGTTTTATAAATTTTGATATTATTTGTCAACAGATTATCATGTATTAGCAATCTGGAAACGATGGTGAGTGAATTTGTTGCGGGTGAGATAGCTTGGAAGAATGATTTTTGAATAATTGCGAGGTGGATCAACGTTACACGGTAAGAGGTTCGCATTACCGAGACCGGCTTATACGAACAACAGTAGTCAAATTAAACAGGAGGCTATTAACTGGGTCAACATTTCAGGTTTGGGGGTAAGTACTTAGTACGAACGACTTTGCGCTCGAGCGCACCTAAATACATTCGTGTTAGACAGAGAGAGAGAAAGAGAGAGAGAGAGAGAGAGAGAGAGAGAGAGACCGATCTTTTGTCGAAGGATATATCGTGAACGTGTGCTTACATATGTGTACCTCCGTTTAAACGTATAAGTGTTAGATCGTTGTGCGTCGGGATACGAGTTCGTTCTGTACGAGAACGAGAGCAAAGCAGTCGTGTCCGTCGACCTTAAATAAATATCTAATGTGCGCGACCGACCGGGCCCTTATTGCTCCCGCCAATATTGTTTTAGGCACGGCCCTTGGCGAATTGAGTTTTGTAACATGAGAAACGATTCGTACGTGTAACCGGCAAGAACTGCCGATAGTCAATACCCAAGTAGTAGTTTTCGTTTTATTGAACGAGCATCGTTATTTCGAGAAAATTTTGACAACAGGAAGGAAGAAAGAAAGAAAGAAAGAAAGAAAGAAAGAAAGAAAGGAAATAAATAAATAAATAAATAAATAAAAAGAAGAATCAATTTCTTCTCATAAAAGTATCACTAAAAAGTAAGAGAATAATTTCATAGGAAATAACGATTTCTTCATTGAAAATCTCTACGAATATCGTCGACCCCGTATAATGGGAAAGGGATGGATAATGAGAGTGAGAGGGGGTGGGAATGGATGGGAATTTCGATAAAAATTAATATATTTTTTATCGAAATCTCGTGAATCGTATTGGAAAATAGGTACTATAGTAGATAGTTCGTAAAATTGTCAGGATCCAACTTGAAGTGGTTGTTAATGGTAATAACGTTGCGTTCAAAGGCCGCTTGCAGCAAGCAAGCAAGCAAGCAAGGTGATAGCGGAAAATACATTCCACTTCAATCTCTGTCTACGGCTCGTTTCTCTCTCCCGGACGTGCGGTGTAAGGTTTGCCTCGGCTCATATTTGTCGCGGAAATAATTAATTAACAGCCTCCATCCACCCCCTTCTTCCTTTTCTCCCAGCATCGTTCTCTTTCTCTGTTTTATCCTCTCTTTCTATTTCCCTCTATCTCTCTCTCTCTCTCTCTCTCTCTCTCGTTCATTCTGATGTACTACGCTGTCTCCCTCTCCAGCGTACCTCCTCCTCCACCTCCTCCACCTCCATCCCTTAACCGTTTCTCGCTTCTCTCCTTCTCCTCCTCTTTCTTCTTTTTCTTCCTTCTCCCATCCCTTCTCTTCCATTCCCCTCCCCTCCCCTCCCCCCACTCTTTCTCTTTCTATCTCATAACTGCGCTTGCCCCTCTACTACTAATGCTCGACGAACGCCTTTTGCCTTCTACAACCCTTATTACCGTGTCGCAGCTCGGTTAACGCGAGAGCAGCAAGTTAATGAAAAGCTCGTGCAAATATAGAATTTCTCGTAAAAACTACAAATTACTGCGGTGGCGGCCGTATAGCCACTCTCTCTTTCTCTCTCTCTCGCGCGCGCGCGCGCAACGTATTCACTCGCGCTTTTTCTTTTCCCTAAAAATTGTTCGGCGAGGCGGTTTGAAATTAAAAAAAAAAAAAGAAAGAAAAAAAAAAGGAAAAAAAAGAAAAAAATTAAAAAGAAAAAAGAAGAAAAAAAAATAGAAGGAAAAACGGCGAAAAAAGAGGAAGGAAAAAAAGGAAGCCAAAGGCGACATTTTTACGTTCTCTGCTTTTCAACGGGCGCGATTCTCTTCTCGCCGATTTTCCTGAAAGATAATTCGCAAGTGAAACAAAAACCTATCGCTTTTGATTTGAGAATCGTTCGGTACGGATACTTCTCCTCTTTTTTTTTTTCTAATTTATTTTTTGTTTGCCTCGCGTTTCTTTTCTCTCTTTTTTTTTTTTTTTTCAAATTTCTTCTTTTTTCTTTTTTACGAACGTGACAAAATATTATTTATAATAACGATATTAAATCGAGAAAGTCGATATCTAAGGATATTAAATTTTGTATTTCGTATAAAATATGTGATTGTCATTACAAAAAAGTAAAAAAAAAGAAAAAAAAGAAAAGAAAACAACAATTTTATTAGCAAACTGAATGAGCAATTTACATGGGTAGTAAATTGAAATTAGAAAATTCGTTTATATTCGGATCGGATACGCAAATGATATT